TTATAAAAGAAAATAGGACTAAAGCCCAAAATGCACAAAATCCCGATTTTTCAATTTTGCCATTTTTCTTCACTTTAAAAGCCCACGATGACTAAATTTATTCAAATAGAAAGGTTTTATATTTAAAACACTAAAACTTAGTGTTTTATATAAATTGGGTATAAATTAGAGCATTTGGTACTATATAGGACATTTCGGATAACTTCGGACCGGAATCGGACTTTCTAAGCAACTACCGAAAATTCTTAAAATTTCTCAACTAAACTATTCTAAATAACTCCTAATCTATAAATTAACTTCAATAACACTAATATATTCTTAATAATAGCTAACCTGGGATTTCGAATTTGACTGCTGTCACAAAACAACACCCCATGTAAGACAGCTGGAGATGACTAATCAACAGCTGGATTCTACAAAGTTTACCTTGTTTTGATGATTATCCTTGTTTAGATAAGCTTTATCTTTTCTTAGAAGATTAGCTAAATAGTCTCACTAGATAGTTATCTTCTTAGCTAGAGTTCTAGTATAAATAGGTAGTTAGGCCTATTGTATTTACGTTTTTCACTATCATTGAAATAAAGTGAAACCTTTGACACTCAAGTATATTCTTTGAATGTTCATAAATTGTTCTTGAGTGTTCATCATTTTATTCATCCAAACTATATAATTAGGTTATTCTTAACTTAATTATTAGTGTTATTCAGAGATCTGGGATCAACAATTGGTATAAGAGCCAATTGATTGTTTTTCCAATCAAATCGATCATTAAAATCTCTCAAGTCGCATTATTCATTCATAAAAATTCATAAAATATCTTCTCTAAAACGTAAAGTTTTCTCTTCTAAATCTTAAATGGCCAACTGGAATACTGCTTACAGTGTTGGTTCCCTCACCAAACCTCCAACTCTTCAAAGAGAAGAGTATCCACAATGGAGGATACGGATGGTAAACTTTCTGGAAGGGATGAACATAAATCTTTTGCGATCTGTCATGGAGGGTCCCTACATTAACAAGAGTCCCAGGAATAAACACCACAACAGAAATTCCAGCCTACTACATGTCCAAGGATGAGAAGAATTGGGATGAAGACGATATAGAGCGCGTGGAGACTGATAAGAAGACCAAGAGACTAATCATCATGGACATTCCCAATGAAATCTTCCAATCCCTTGACGCATGCTCCAGAACAAAGGAATTATGGGATGAACTAGCGAGCCAATTAGAAGGAGGAGCAAAAACGAAGAAAAATCGTAGAGCTCAATGTCTCAATGAATATACCGACTTCAAAGCTCTTCCTGATGAACCGATTCAGAAGACATACGATCGTTTCAATACATTGATTAATCAATGTCGTCAAAACGACATCTCCAGGACGAAGGAAGAAAACAATGTTTTATTCCTTAAAAGTCTCGGCGATGAGTGGACACAGCTGTCGATATCTCTCCAAGCAAATCAGGACTTAGACGGCTGATCACTTCATGACTTGTATGGAACGCTTGCTGCACAAGAGCAAGATATCATGAAAAAGAAAGTATCCATCGGTGGACCCCTTGCTCTTTCTGTTGAAGAAAAGGATGTGTCAATGACCTCCACCAGAGACCACAAGAAGAAAGGAAAGAAAGCACTGGTAGTAGAATCAGAATCTGAGGACGAGACATCCAAATCAGATGATGATATCAAAGCCTTTGCCAAGTCTCTGGCCTTAATCACAAAACAGTTCGAGAAGAAGTTCATCAAGAAACCCTATGAACGAGGAGACTTCAAAAGGGAGAAATACCAGTCATCCTATGAAAAGAAGCCATCAAAATTCTATCAGAGGGAAGACAGAAGAGATGGAAGAGAAGATAGAGAAGACAGAAGAAAGGAGAAGAAAGATGATCGAGACAGAAGGAAGAATGACCTTCGCTGTTATAGGTGCGGAAAAATCGGTCATTTTTTCAAAGAGTGCAAAGGACGATTGGTGAAGGATTCTGATTACTACAAGAATAAATATAAATACAATCCAAGAGAGCGAAGCCTGATGGCTGAAAAAGAAAATTGGGTATCTGATTCTTCATCCGATGAAGAAGACAAGGCACTCATCTATCTGATGGCCAAGTCCAATGCAGAATCCGCCTCTGATTCTGATGATCAGGTCTGTGAGACTTCTTTCGATGAAACCAACTCTAGCTCATATAATAAAACTTTCTATTAGACCCCATAATTTATAAGCGTAAAAGTATCTTTATGGCACCAAATGTCAACTCTACACTGATCATAAGAGTTTGAAGTATTTGTTCGACCAACATACACTTAATATGCGACAACAACGTGCTATGGAGCTCATTAAAGACTATGATTGTGAAATACTCTATCATCCAGGTAAAGCCAATGTAGTGGCGGATGCATTAAGTTGAAAAGCATATGGTGGATCTTTGTGCTATGTTATCACTCACAAGATGGGAAGGTCGACTCTATTTGATGATTTGCAGAAGTGGAAACTTGAGGCTTTGAAGCCCGAGCATATTAAGTCAGAACGAATGGTAAGCTATGTTAATTCGTTATCTGAGGACAATCGTGGTCTAAAGGTCTTTAAGACCTGAATCTGGGTCCCTAGTGTAATAGTCTGGTTATTATTTTGGTTATATACATATATATATATATATATATTTTAATTAAATATATATATATAAGATATATGTATATATATATATATGTTATGTATGTATGCATGTGATTTGTGTGTGTGAGAGCATTCAAAAGAAGAAAAGAAGGGAGAGGGTCGGCTATTAAGCCGCCTCTCAATCTCCTTGTGGGTATGTATGTATATAAAGAAATTTGAGAAGGAAAAACACACACATCACACTTTCTATATTTAGAAATCTCTCTGAAGAGTTTTGAAGAATCTGCACAGGAA